CGTCCACTCCTCCCGGCGCTCCGACTGTCTGTCAACGTCCCTCCCCGCTCCGTCGCTCCTACTGTCTGGCACGTCCACTCCGGCGCTCCTACTGTTCTGTCACGTCCACGGTCCCGCTCCGGCTCTCCTACTTTCTGTCCTCCACCTCCCGCTCCGGCCGCGCCTACTGTCCTGTCACGTCCACTCCGCTCCGGTGCTCCTACTGTCTGTCACGTCCACCTCCCGCTCCGTCGCTCCGACTGCTGTCACGTCCACTCCCGCTCCGGCGCTCCTCTGTCTGTCACTTCCACTCCCGCTCCGCGCGCCTACTGTCTGTCACGTCACTCGCCTCCCGCTCCGTGCTTCCTACTGTCCTGTCATGTCCACTCCGCGCTCCTAAACTGTCCTGTCACGTCCACTCCCGCTCCTCCTCCTACTCTGTCACGTCCACCTTCCCGCTCCGGCGCTCCTTCTGTCTGTCACGTTCCACTCCCCGCTCCGCGCTCCTTCTGTCTGTCAACGTCCACCCCACTCCGCTCCCGCTCCGGCGCTCCTACTGTCTTTCACGTCCCACTCCCTCTCCGGTGCTCCTACTGTCTGTCACTTCCTCCCTCTCCGGCGCTCCTTCTACTGTCTGCCACTTCCACTCCCCGCCTCCGGCGCTCCTACTTCTGTCACGTCCACTCCCCCCGCTCCCCCCCCTCTCCCGGCCGCGCTCCTACTGTCTGTCACTTCCCTGCACTCCCGCCCGGCGCTCCTTCTGTTCGGCACGTCCACTCCCGCTTCGGCGCTCCTACTGTCTGTCACGTCCCACTCCCCTCCCGCTGCCCGGATCTCCTCCTACTGTCTGTCACGTCCCACATACCCCGCCTCCGGCGCTCCTTCTGTCGGTCACGCCACGCCGGCGCTCCTACTGTCTTCAAGTTTCCCTCCCGCCTCCGTCGCTCCTACTGTCTGTCACATCCACTTCCCGGCGCTCCTCTTACTGTCTGCTCCCTTCCACTCCCGCTCCGGCCGCTCCTACTGGTCTGTCACGTCCACTCCCGCTCCGGCGCTCCTACTGTCTGTCACGTCCCTTCCGGCGCTCCTACTGTCTTTCCGCCACTCCCGCTCCGGCGCTCCTACGGTCCTGTCACGTCCACTCCGGCGCTCCTACTGTCCTGTACGTCACATCCCGTCCCCCGCTCCACGCTCCTCCTGTCGGTCACGTCCACCCCTCCCGCCCGGCGCTACCTACTGTCTGGCACGTCCACTCCCGCTCCGTGCTCCTACTGTCTGTCACGTCCCCTCCGCTCTCGCCGCCTAACTGTCTGTCACTCCACTCGGGCTCCTACTGTCTGTCACGTCCACTCCCGCTCGGCGCTCCTACTGTTCCTGTCAACTCCCACTCCCGCTCCGGCCTCCTACTGTCCTGTCACGTCCACCGCCCGCTCCGGTGCTCCTACTGTCTGTCCACGCCCCCCGCTCCCTACTTTCTGTCACGGTCCACTTCCCGCTCCGGTGTCTCCTACTGTCCTGTCACGTCCACTCCTCCCCTCCTACTGTCTGTTCAACGTCCACGCCCGCTCCGGCGCTCCTTCTTTCTGTCACGTCCCACTCCGGCGCTCTACTGTTCTGTCCCGTCCACTCCCTCTTCCGGCGCTCCTACTGTCTGTCACGTCCCTACGTCCGGGCTCCTACTGTCTGTCACTCCACCTCCTTCCCGCTCCGGCGCTCCTACTGTCTGTCACTCCACAATCCCGCTCCGCCGCTCCTACTGTCTGTTCACTCCAACTTCCGGCGCTCCTACTGTCTGTCACTTCCCCCCCACCCCCCCGCTCCGGCGCTCCTACTGTCTGTCACGTCCACTCCGGCGCTCCTACTGTCTGTCCGTCCACAACTCCCGCCCCGTCTCTCCTACTGTCTGTCACGTCCACCCTCCCACTCCCCGCTCCCGGCGCTCCTACGGTCTGCCGTTCCACTCCCGCTCCGGTGCTCACTACTGGCTGTCAGTTCCCTCCCGCTCCGGCCCTCCTACTGTCGTCCACGTCCACGCCCGCTCCGCGCTCTACTGTCCTGTCCGTTCCACTCCCGGCGCTCCTACTGTCTGTCACGTCCACTTCCGCTCCGGCGCTCCTACTGTCTGTCACGTCCACTCCCGCTCCGGCGCTCCTACTGTCTGTCACGTCCACTCCCGCTCCGGCGCTCCTACTGTCTGTCACGTCCACTCCCGCTCCGGTGCTCCTACTGTCTGTCACGTCCACTCCGGCGCTCCTACTGTCTGTCACGTCCACTCCCGCTCCGGCGCTCCTACTGTCTGTCACGTCCACTCCCGCTCCGGCGCTCCTTCTGTCTGTCACGTCCACTCCCGCTCCGGCGCTCCTTCTGTCTGTCACGTCCACTCCCGCTCCGGCGCTCCTACTGTCTGTCACGTCCACTCCCGCGCTCCTACTGTCTGTCACGTCCACTCCCGCTCCGGCGCTCCTACTGTCTGTCACGTCCACTCCCGCTCCGGCGCTCCTACTGTCTGTCACGTCCACTCCGCTCCTTCTGTCTGTCACGTCCACTCCCGCTCCTACTGTCTGTCACGTCCACTCCCGCTCCGGCGCTCCTACTGTCTGTCACGTCCACTCCCGCTCCGGCGCTCCTACGGCGTCACGTCACTCCGGCGCTCCTACTTTCTGTCACGTCACTCCGCTCGGCGCTCCCTACTGTCTGTCACGTCCACTCCCGCTCGCGCTCCTACTGTCTGTCACGTCCACTCCGCTCCTTTCGTCTGTCACGTCCACTCCCGCTCAATGTCTGTCACGTCCACTCCCGCTCCGGCGCTCCTACTGTCTGTCACGTCCACTCCCGCTCCGGCGCTCCTACTGTCTGTCACGTCCACTCCCGCTCCTTCTGTTTGTCACGTCCACTCCCGCTCCTACTGTCTGTCACGTCCACTCCCGCTCCGGCGCTCCTACTGTCTGTCACGTCCACTCCCGCTCCGGCGCTCCTACTGTCTGTCACGTCCACTCCGGCGCTCCTTCTGTCTGTCACGTCCACTCCGGCGCTCCTACTGTCTGTCACGTCCACTCCCGCTCCGGCGCTCGACGTCACCAGTCTACTAACCACCGGTCCTGGCAACCCATCTTCAGTCACACCTGGACTTCATTACTCCCTTGATTACCTACCCTTTTATACAGCACACTTTAGTTATCAGTCATCAGGTGGTGTTGTTTGTGTTTCCATGTCAGACGCGTCTCTTGTTTTGCATCGTTCCATGGTCGTTGTTATTAAACTCACTAAACACCTGCTTCCTGACTCCCTGCGTCTACGTTACACTATCCCCTATTTAGTTCACTATTTTTGACCAGGGCCCTTAGTAGTGTACTATATAGGGAGCGATTTGGGACGCACTCAGTCTAGCAGAGGCATCCTCAGAGTCGGGGGATGAGGATATCGACTGTCGGACATATTGAATTACAATGTCCCAGAAATAGCAGGAATGGAAGATTAGCGATTGTCCTGAGGTCACTACCAACTGATAGACAGCCAGCGAATGTTTACAGTTACACAATATGCCTGGGCAGCCTCTGGTGCTTCACTAACAATAAGACATTTACGTTTTAGCAGACGCTCTTATCCAGAGCGACTTACAGGAGAAATTAGGGTTAAGTGCCTTGCTCAATGGCACCTGGGCACATTTGTCACCTAGTCGGCTCGGGGATTCGAACCAGCGTCCTTTCGGGTTACTGGCCCAACGCTCTTAACCGATAGGCTACCTGCCGCCAGTACTATTACTAGATAGGGTTTATAAAGAGCTTTTCTAATAGAAAACGCCATAATAAGAACCTATTCACAATATAATATGCCTGGGAAATCTCTGGGTGCTTTAAGGATTTTTATTATTATTTATTAACCTTTATTTAACTAGGCAAGTCAGTTAAGAACAAATTCTTATTTACAATGACGGCCTACACCGGCCAAACCCGGACGACGCTGGGCCAATTGTGCGCCGCCCTATGGGACTCCCAATCACGGCCGGTTGTGATACAGCCTGGAATCGAACCAGGGGGTCTGTAGTGACGCCTCAAGCACTGAGATGCAGTGCCTTAGACCGCTGCGCCACTCGGGAGCCCATGTATGCTGTGAAATACTGTGTATGCAACGTATTGTGTATGCTGTGAAATACTGTGTATGCAACGTATTGTGTATGCTGTGAAATACCGTGTATGCAACGTATTGTGTATGCTGTGAAATACCGTGTATGCAACGTATTGTGTATGCTGTGAAATACTGTGTATGCAACGTATTGTGAATGCTGTGAAATACTGTGTATGCAACGTATTGTGAATGCTGTGAAATACCGTGTATGCAACGTATTGTGTATGCTGTGAAATACCGTGTATGCAACGTATTGTGTGTGCTGTGAAATACCGTGTATGCAACGTATTGTGTGTGCTGTGAAATACTGTGTATGCAACGTATTGTGTGTGCTGTGAAATACCGTGTATGCAACGTATTGTGTATGCTGTGAAATACCGTGTATGCAACGTATTGTGTATGCTGTGAAGTGAATTCTCTCATTGAGGACATTAAAGTTCTCTAATCTAATAGTAGTAGACTATAGAGGATTTTATATATTATTTAAATAGCACAGCAGTCTAACCCTAAGACGTTTTTTCCACCTTCAGAACATTTACTAACGGACGATGTAACCCATACAGTTATTAAGGGTCTAAGTTTCAACTCTTACTTTAATTTAACTCCGTTGACCATTGTTTTCTACCATCATATTATTTGCTCTGTCAACTTGTGTTCTTATTATGATTTGGCCTAATCTTTTTTTTTGTTTTTGTTTCTCCAAACTGATTCCTTTTAATTGATCCTTTCATTCTTTTGCCTCTTCATCCATTCTACCTCCTCACCTTGTTTTCTCCCCTGCCCTCCCCTGCCAACGTGGATACCCTACACCACTCCATACCGGAAACACTACTCTCCTCCTCTCCTGTGGATGACTCCTACTCCTACTCCTGCTCCGCTACTCCACCTCCGTAGCTGGCTTTGTGAAGTCTCCCCTGTCTGAGACCAAACTAACAGGCGACACCTTTGAGCTGTACTGTGACGTGGTCGGTAACCCAACCCCAGAGATCCAGTGGTGGTACGCTGAGATCAACCGGGCCGACTCCTTCCGCCAGCTCTGGGACGGCGCCCGTAAACACCGCGTCTCCATCAACACGGCGTACGGCGCCAACGGCGTGAGCGTTCTGGGCGTGACGCGTCTCGGCCTGGAGGATGCTGGGACGTACGAGTGCCGGGCCAGTAATGATCCGAGGAGGAACGATCTGCACCAAAACCCTGCCACCACCTGGATCAGAGCACAGGCCACCATTACCGTGTTGCAGAGTGAGTGGTCAGAGTAGTAGATGACCCCCTTAGGTCTTTACTAGCCCACTGTGTGTACCCCAGACCCCTAGACTACATCAGACCCTCTTCAAAATCCCCGACATTGGCAGCTCCTTCATAGAAGCCATCACCTACCACATACATCCTGAAAATTAAGAACCCTCTACCTCAGTCCCTAGGCAGCTGACCTAACTCTCCCTGTGTATCCCGTGTACCTCAGTCCCCTTCCGAGATCTCCCGGACCACCAGTTCCCTCGTAGAAGCCATCACCTACCATAAGTCATGGAAATGAAGAAATAGCAGCTTCCTTGATCTCCCTGTGTATCCCGTCTACCTCAGTACCTAGGCAGCTCAACTAGATATCCCTGTGTATCCTGTGTGCCCCAGTTCCCCTTCCAAAACCCCCAGGACCACCAGTTTCCTCACAGAAGCCATCACCTACCGTACGTCATGGAAATCAGGAAATAAAGCATCAGCTTCATCTAATCTGTCCCGGCAGACCACAGTGTTCTGCAGAGACCCCTCCCACCATGTACACTGAACCCTGCACCTCAAACTAACCCAGAGACCTTTAACTTCCTCCGTTTTCTTCTTTGTCTAAACATGTTTTTTTTTTTAATCTACCCATCATCTCACGTCTTCTTGTTGTTGAATTCCCTTTCTTTTGTATTTTTTCCAGATGGATTTGAATTTAGTAACATTTTAATTCGTCACCAGCTTCAGTACGAGCTGTAAACTGAAATACGCTGAACATGGGTTTGGACAGAGTCGTATATAGAGACAGGTCCTGTATATTGACCTCGTGTTACATGGACAGCGCCAACTGGAAACCTATCAAACCCCAGCTTTAAATCACTACCCAGACCCCTGACCCCTGACCCCTGACCCTGACCCCTGACCCCTGACCTCTAACCTCTAACCTCTAACCTCTACCTGAGAATGTTAGCTCTACAAGCTTCTAAGCTGAATTACTGAATGCCTATGAAACCATTGGAGGTATAGACCAGAGCCATTTACAGACATCCAGAGTGTATGTGTATATGTACGGATCTGGTATTGGAAAGTACTAATAAAGATTTAGGATCTGAATTTGATCACCATGTTGCAGGAGAATTTCCTGAACTGCAGGACATTTAAAACTTATAGTATTTTTTAGGTTTAAAAAGCCTTCTGAAGTTTGTAATTTTCACTGTGAAATTTGTTACATGATTTTCCATTAAGGTAAATGTATTAACCCCTACAAAAATTTTAATTAATTATAATCCACATAATAATTCACATTTCCTGTTGCTGCAGGATTATTTTCCTGCTGTGGCAAACTGGCTCAAATTAAGATCCTACATATGTCTATAGCCTACTCATTATGCTTGTCCAGAGTGAAGTACAGAGTAATTTAGTAGCATGGGGTAAGTATGAACGTGCTACCATACATGCATAATGTACTGATAATTGTTTGAAAACTAACATTTGTATTCTTGATACGGAAAGAATCTTGATACGGAAAAGCTCAGCAGCTGTATCATCACACAGTCGTAACATTTCCTGTGGTTATCTCTGTTCTTTCTAATCTCCATTCTATGCCAATATATGAAGTGTTTGTTAATATCGTCCTGATACACCTCCTCAAACCCACACAGGTTAGAATACTAAGAGAGAACATCACCCAGCTGTCACAACACAGGTTAGAATACTAAGAGAGAACATCACCCAGCTGTCATAACACAGGTTAGAATACTAAGAGAGAACATCACCCAGCTGTCACAACACAGGTTAGAATACTAAGAGAGAACATCACCCAGCTGTCATAACACAGGTTAGAATACTAAGAGAGAACATCACCCAGCTGTCATAACACAGGTTAGAATACTAAGAGAGAACATCACCCAGCTGTCATAACACAGGTTAGAATACTAAGAGAGAACATCACCCAGCTGTCATAACACAGGTTAGAATACTAAGAGAGAACATCACCCAGCTGTCATAACACAGGTTAGAATACTAAGAGAGAACATCACCCAGCTGTCATAACACAGGTTAGAATACTAAGAGAGAACATCACCCAGCTGTCACAACACAGGTTAGAATACTAAGAGAGAACATCACCCAGCTGTCATAACACAGGTTAGAATACTAAGAGAGAACATCACCCAGCTGTCACAACACAGGTTAGAATACTAAGAGAGAACATCACCCAGCTGTCATAACACAGGTTAGAATACTAAGAGAGAACATCACCCAGCTGTCATAACACAGGTTAGAATACTAAGAGAGAACATCACCCAGCTGTCATAACACAGGTTAGAATACTAAGAGAGAACATCACCCAGCTGTCATAACACAGGTTAGAATACTAAGAGAGAACATCACCCAGCTGTCATAACACAGGTTAGAATACTAAGAGAGAACATCACCCAGCTGTCATAACACAGGTTAGAATACTAAGAGAGAACATCACCCAGCTGTCATAACACAGGTTAGAATACTAAGAGAGAACATCACCCAGCTGTCATAACACAGGTTAGAATACTAAGAGAGAACATCACCCAGCTGTCATAACACAGGTTAGAATACTAAGAGAGAACATCACCCAGCTGTCATAACACAGGTTAGAATACTAAGAGAGAACGTCACCCAGCTGTCATAACACAGGTTAGAATACTAAGAGAGAACATCACCCAGCTGTCATAACACAGGTTAGAATACTAAGAGAGAACATCACCCAGCTGTCATAACACAGGTTAGAATACTAAGAGAGAACATCACCCAGCTGTCATAACACAAGCCTCTACGATGTCTCTATCAGGGCTGGGGTCAATACAATTTCAATTCAGTCAATTCAGGAAGTACACTGAAATTCCAATTAAATTGTCCTCATTGCTTTTCAACTAATTGAAATGAACTGCATTGAAAAGAAGAAAAAAACAATTTGAAGTGGAATTGACCCCAACTGATTTGAAATGGAACTGACCCTAACCCTGGTGTCTTATTGGTGTTTCAGAACCTTCTATCCAATTAAATTCTAATTCCAATTCTCCTCATTGTTTTTCAAGGAATTGGAATGTCAGTTTATTTCCTGAATTGACTGTATTGAAATGGAATTGACTATTGGAAGTGTCTAATTGGTGTTTCAGAGCCGTCAATCAACTCGTCAGACCACATCACGCTGCCAGTTGATCACCACAGCCTGCCCCTCACCCTGCAGTGCAACCTAACTTCAGCCCACAGCACCCACCTTGAGAGCTTCTGGATGAAGAACGGGGAGGAGATCGAAGAGACCCGCGGAGAGAGAGCCAACACTGAGTACTAGTAGGTCCCTAACTAACATGCTGGCCCTGACCTTAACCAATCCCATTAACCCTAACCCCATCTACACTCCATGTGCTCCTTTCTCCTGAAGTGTACACTCGAACACTCTGCCCTACACATATAAAAGCATTGGATTGGTGTAGACATGGGCTAAATTAGGAGATTCCACCATATTTCTTATAATAATAATATGCCATTTAGCAGACGCTTTTATCCAAAGCGACTTACAGTCATGTGTGCATACATTTTTACGTATGGGTGGTCCCGGGGATCGAACCCACTACCCTGGCGTTACAAGCGCCATGCTCTACCAATTGAGCTACTGAGGACCACTTGTCGCAGTCTGATCTCATCTCCATTTGTGCCTATTTTAATTGTGTACATGTATTGAAAGCAGTAACTCCCCTCTGCTCGGAACATTTCATGACTCTAGGACCAAGAATATTTATTCAAACTAACTTCTGAAATTTCATAATTGTATGTTAATTAATGTGAAAATATGGCAAGTTTCTGTTTCGGAGATAAGAGGTTTTCATCAGACAGCGACGATAAATGTTTCCTTGCACATTTCCAAAGAAAGGAGAGATTATTTGGACGCAGGCAATGCCTCTGACATCAGAGTGCCTTTCAGAGTTAGAACTAAACACTGTTTAGACTAGAGGATTGATTGACTTGTGGTGTTTGTTTTGTGTAAATCCAGCCTGAAGAAGCCCAGAGGAGACGATGCAGGGGAGTACATGTGTGTCTACACCTTCGATATGGCTCCGCCTGCTAACGCCACCATCGAGGTTAAAGGTACAGTACGACTCCCACCCACCAGTGTTGATTAGTAATGAATAGGATTGATCCTAGACTGATGAGTCATTCAAGGATGCTACGATGACCTAATAGACTGCCCAAGACCACATTTATATGTCATCTAGAAACAGCACTGTCATATTGTCCTGGAAATACCGCCTTCGATAGGGCCCCGCTGCCTACACCACCTCTGAGATTAAAAGGACAACTCCCAACCAGTGGTGAATGGTAATGGCAGTACGGATTTACTATGACACAGTAGAGTCCCTTTGATATGACACAGTAGAGACCTTTGATATGACACAGTATAGGCCCTTTGATATGACACAGTAGAGACCTTTGATATGACACAGTAGAGACCTTTGATATGACACAGTATAGGCCCTTTGATATGACACAGTAGAGACCTTTGATATGACACAGTAGAGACCTTTGATATGACACAGTAGAGACCTTTGATATGACACAGTAGAGTCCCTTTGATATGCCACAGTAGAGACCTTTGATATGACACAGTAGAGACCCTTTGATATGACACAGTAGAGACCTTTGATATGACACAGTAGAGACCTTTGATATGACACAGTAGAGACCTTTGATATGACACAGTAGAGACCTTTGATATGACACAGTAGAGACCCTTTGATATGACACAGTAGAGTCCCTTTGATATGACACAGTAGAGACCTTTGATATGACACAGTAGAGACCTTTGATATGACACAGTAGAGACCTTTGATATGACACAGTAGAGACCTTTGATATGACAAAGTAGAGACCTTTGATATGACCTCCTCCTGCCAAAGACACCATCAAGATTAAAGGTAGACCACAGCAGGCTACGACTCCCAACCAGTGTTGAATAGCTCCTGTCTGCGTTCCATATGGCACCCTATCTATAGATCCTATCTAACCAATAGAGAGAGCAGATGGTGGCTGGTCTGTCTGCCTGTCTGTCTGATTGTAGGATTACTGTAAGGCTCTATCCATCCACTCTGCATCAGAATCAGAGAATCAACCCTAGTCTTTTCACTGGCAGTAACCGAAAGGTCATTGGTTTGAATCCCCGAGCCACACTATGTGAAAAATCAGTTTTATGTGCCCTTGAGCAAGGCACTTAACCCTAATTGCTTTTGTAAGTCTCTCTGGATCAGAGTGTCTGCTAAATGACTCAAATGTCAAACAATGTAACTGTTAAATGGATGCCACAATATTTATTTATTCACAGAGTAATTTCAGACCAGAGTAGTAATTCCTTTACAAATGTTACTAAAAACAAGGCGGTTAACGCTCACTGAAACTGAACTGTAGTCTGTATACAATAACTGTAGTCGTATACAATAACTGTAGTCTGTATACAATAACTGTAGTCGTATACAATAACTGTAGTCGTATACAATAACTGTAGTCTGTATACAATAACTGTAGTCGTATACAATAACTGTAGTCTGTATACAATAACTGTAGTCGTATACAATAACTGTAGTCTGTATCCAAAACTGTAGTCTGTATCCAATAACTGTAGTCTGTATACAATAACTGTAGTCTGTATACAATAACTGTAGTCTGTATCCAATAACTAGTCTGTATCCAATAACTGTAGTCTGTATACAATAACTGTAGTCTGTATACAATAACTGTAGTCGTATACAATAACTGTAGTCTGTATCCAATAACTGTAGTCTGTATCCAATAACTGTAGTCTGTATACAATAACTGTAGTCTGTATCCAATAACTGTAGTCTGTATCCAATACAAAGTGATAGAAGAGAGTGTATGTCTGCAAAATCGTGCAAAGGTTACCCTAAGGCAGTGGGGTCATCAGATGTGAGCAACTAACCCAGGAAATACTGTAGGCTTAGCAAAGAATGTGAATTGAGGATTTTAATACAGCAAACATGGAGAACATACTGTACGCTCAATAGCCAGTTTATTAGGTACACCCATCTAGTACCGGGTCAGACCCCACTTTTCCTCCAGAACAGTCTGAATTATTCGAGGCATGGATTCTACAAGGTGTCGGAAACATTCGTTGCTCAATTCGTATCAATTGATTGTTATCATTCCCCACACCAGTACACCACCACAACCAGCCTGTATGTACCGTTGACACCAGGCAGGATGGGTCCATGGATTCTTGCTGCTTATGCCAAATCCTGACTCTGCCATCAGCATGATGCAACAGGAACTGGGATTCATCGGAGCAGGCAATGTTTTTTCCATTCCTCAGTTGTCCGAGTGTTGGTGATCGCGTGCCCACTGGAGCCACTTCTTGTTTTTAGCAGATAGGAGTGGAACCCGGTATCATGGCTTAGGATAAGACCCAGATGCAGACACAGGGGGCGGATAGTTCGAATCTCAGATATTTATTATAACACAGGGGGCAGGCAAACGGCATGTCGAGGGCAGGCAGAGGTTCGTAATCCAGGTCAGAGTCAGGCAAGTACAGGACGGCAGTCAGGGTCAGGACCGGCAGAAAGGTCAGAACCGGGAAGAATAGAAACAAAACTTGAAAACGGGAAACAAGCTGGTACGACCTGACGAACTGGCAACAGACAAACAGAACACGCAGGTATAAATACACAGGGGATAATGGGGAAAAATGGGAGACACCTGGAGGCGGGTGGAAACAAGCACAAGACGGATGAAACAGATCAGGATGTGACACCCGGTGTGGTCGTCTGCTGCAATAGCCCATCCGTGACAAGGATCGACGAGTTGTGCGTTCCAAGATGCCGTTCTGTACACCACTGTTTTACTGCGCCGTTATTTGTCTGTTTGTGGGCCGCCTGTTAGCTTGCACGATTTGTGCCATTATCCTTCGACCTCTCTCATCAACGAGCTGTTTTCGCCCACAGGACTGCCGCTGACTGGATGTTTTTTGTTGGTCGCACCATTCTCGGTAAACCATAGACACTGTCGTGGGTGAAAAGCCCAGGAGGGCGGCAGTTTCTGAGATACTGGAACCAGTCCGCCTGGCACCGACGATCATATCACACTCAAATTCGCTTAAGTCACTTGTTTTACCCATTCTAACATTGAATGTAACAGTAACTGAATGCCTTGATGCCTGTCTGCCTGCTTTATATATAGCAAGCCACGGCAACGCGACGCACTGTCTGTAGAAGCGATCCATTTTCTTGAACAGGCCATTGAATGTATATACAGAGGGGAGAACAATTATTTGATACACTGCCGATTTTGCAGGTTTTCCTACTTACAAAGCATGTAGAGGTCTGTAATTGTTATCATAGGTACACTTCAACTGTGAGACGGAATCTAAAAAAAAAATCCAGAAAATCACATTGTATGATTTTTAAGTAATTAATTTGCATTTTATTGCATGACATAAGTATTTGATACATCAGAAAAGCAGAACTTAATATTTGGTACAGAAACCTTTGTTTGCAATTACAGAGATCATACGTTTCCTGTAGGTCTTGACCAGGTTTGCACACACTGCAGCAGGGATTTTGGCCCACTCCTCCATACAGACCTTCTCCAGATCCTTCAGGTTTTGGGGCTGTCGCTGGGCAATACGGACTTTCAGCTCCCTCCAAAGATTTTCTATTGGGTTCAGGTCTGGAGACTGGCTAGGCCACTCCAGGACCTTGAGATGCTTCTTACGGAGCCACTCCTTAGTTGCCCTGGCTGTGTGTTTCGGGTTGTTGTCATGCTGGAAGACCCAGCCACGACCCATCTTCAATGCTCTTACTGAGGGAAGGAGGTTGTTGGCCAAGATCTCGCGATACATGGCCCCATCCATCCTCCCCTCAATACGGTGCAGTCATCCTGTCCCCTTTGCAGAAAAGCATCCCCAAAGAATGATGTTTCCACCTCCATGCTTCATGGTTGGGATGGTGTTCTTGGGGTTGTACTCATCCTTCTTCTTCCTCCAAACACGGCGAGTGGAGTTTAGACCAAAATGCTCTATTTTTGTCTCATCAGACCACATTACCTTCTCCCATTCCTCCTCTGGATCATCCAGATGGTCATTGGCAAAGTTCAGACGGGCCTGGACATGCGCTGGCTTGAGCAGGGGGACCTTGTGTGCGCTGCAGGATTTTAATCCATGACGGCGTAGTGTGTTACTAATGGTTTTCTTTGAGACTGTGGTCCCAGCTCTCTTCAGGTCATTGACCAGGTCCTGCCGTGTAGTTCTGGGCTGATCCCTCACCTTCCTCATGACCATTGATGCCCCACGAGGTGAGATCTTGCATGGAGCCCCAAACCGAGGGTGATTGACCGTCATCTTGAACTTCTTCCATTTTCTAATAATTGCGCCAACAGTTGTTGCCTTCTCACGAAGCTGCTTGCCTATTGTCCTGTAGCCCATCCCAGCCTTGTGCAGGTCTACAATGTTATCCCTGATGTCCTTACACAGCTCTCTGGTCTTGGCCATTGTGGAGAGGTTGGAGTCTGTTTGATTGAGTGTGTGGACAGGTGTCTTTTATACAGGTAACGAGTTCAAACAGGTGCAGTTAATACAGGTAATGAGTGGAGAACAGGAGGGCTTCTTAAAGAAAAACTAACAGGTCTGTGAGAGCCGGAATTCTTACTGGTTGGTAGGTGATCAAATACTTATGTCATGCAATAAAATGCAAATTAATTACTTAAAAATCATACAATGTGATTTTCTGGATTTTTGTTTTAGATTCCGTCTCTCACAGTTGAAGTGTACCTATGATAAAAATTACAGACCTCTACATGCTTTGTAAGAAGGAAAACCTGCAAAATCGGCAGTGTATCAAATACTTGTTCTCCCCACTGTATCTAATAGGGCACTCCATAGTTTCAGTTTACTTCCTGTATTGACAGAATTCAAATGGAATTGACCCCAACCCTTTATTATGAGATAACATTGTATTATTAGTAAAACTGTCATTGCCTTCATTGGGTACCTCCCCAGTGGCACCCTATTCCCTACATAGTGCACTACTTTTGACCAGATCTCATAAAGTAGTGCACTATATAAGGATTGGGATGCTATTTGGAACACAAGCACTAAAGCATTATTATGTGATAACATTGTACTAGTAAACTGGCATTGCCTTCATTCTGTGCGTCCCAAATGGCACCCTATTCCCTACATAGTGCACTACTTTCACCCTATTCCCTACATAGTGCACTACTGTTGACCAGAGCCCTGTGGGGCCCTTTTCAAAAGAAATGCACTATATAGGGAAATGTATTATTAGAAAATAGTTATCATTGCCCTTCCTTGTTTTTGATTTCCTTTGTTCTCATTGGTTGTTTCCCCTCATTCCAGCTGGTCCTGACATCATAGGCCACAAGCGTAGTGACAATAAGAATGAGGGTCAGAAAGCCCTGCTGTACTGTAAGGCCACGGGATACCCTTACCCCATCTGGACCTGGCGCAAACTGGACAACGGGTTCTACATGGTACGTCTTGTTGTAGTTGTTGTTGTGGTTGTTGTTGTTGTGGAATTTATATTTATTATGGATCCCCATTTAGTTTCTGCCAAGGCAGAAGCTACTCCTCCTGGGGTCCAGCAAAATTAAGGTAGTTATACATATTAATAACATTACACAATACATTCATAACAGATTTCACAACATTAAATGTGTGCCCTCAGGCCTCTACTCTACTACCACGCTTCACAGTCCCCGCTGTTCCATAAGGTGTATTTTAATCTGTTTTTTTTTTAAATCTAATTTTACTGCTGGCATGAGTTACTTGATGTGGAATAGAGTTCCATGTAGTCATGGCTCTATGTAGTACTGTGCACCTCCCATAGTCTGTTCTGGACTTGGGGACTGTGAAGAGACCTCTGGTGGCATGTCTTGTGGGGTATGCATGGGTGTCCGAGCTGTGTGCCAGTAGTTCAAACAGACAGCTCGGTGCATTCAACATGTCAATACCTCTCACAAATACAAGTAGTGATGAAGTCAATCTCTCCTCCACTTTGAGCCAGGAGAGATTGACATGCATATTATTAATGTTAGCTCTCTATGTACATCCAAGGGCCAGCCGTGCTGCCCTGTTCTGAGCCAATTGCAATTTTACTAAGTCCCTCTTTGTGGCACCTGACCACACAACTGAACAGTAGTCCAGGTGCGACAAAACTAGGGCCTGTAGGACCTGCCTTGTTGATAGTGCTGTTAAGAATGCAGAGCAGTGCTTTATTATAGACAGACTTCTCCCCATCCTAGCTACTGTTGTATCAATATGTTTTGACCATGACAGTTTACAATCCAGGGTTACTCCAAGCAGTTTAGTTTCCTCAACTTGCTCAATTTCCACATTATTCATTACAAGATTTAGTTGAGGTTTAGGGTTTAGTGAATGAGTCATCCGCATACATAAACACACTGGCTTTACTCAAAGCCAGTGGCATGTCGTTAGTAAATATTGAAAAAGTAAGGGGCCTAGACAGCTGCCCTGGGGAATTCCTGATTCTACCTGGATTTTGTTGGAGAGGCTTCCATTAATGAACACCCTCTGTGTTCTGTTAGACAGGTAACTCTTTATCCACAATATAGCAGGGGGTGTAAAGCCATAACACATTTTGTTTTTCCAGCAACAGACTATAATTGATAATGTCAAAAGCCGAACTGAAGTCTAACAAAACAGCCCCCACAGTTTTTTAATCATCAATTTCTCTCAGCCAATCATCAGTCATTTGTATAAGTGCTGTGCTTGTTGAATGTCCTTCGCTATAAGCGTGCTGAAAGTCTGTTGTCAATTTGTTTACTGTAAAATAGCATTTTATCTGGTCAAACACAATTATTTCCAAAAGTTGACTAAGGGTTGGTAAAAGGCTGATTGGTCAGCTATTTGAGCCAGTTAAGGGGGCTTTACTATTCTTAGGTAGGGGAATAACCTTTGCTTCCCTCCAGGCGTGAGGGCACACACTTTCTAGTAGGCTTAAATTGAAGATATGGCAAATAGGAGTGGCAATATCATCCGCTATTATCCTCAGTAATTTTCCATCCAATTTGTCAGACCCCGGTGGCTTGTCATTGATGATTGACAATAATACTTTTTTTTACCTCTTCCACACTTACTTTATGGAATTCAAAATTACAATGCTTGTCTTTCATCATTTGGTCAGATATACATGGATGTGTAGTGTCAGCGTTGGTTGCTAGCATGTCATGCATACGTTTGCTAATCTTGCCAATGAAAAAATCATTAAAGTAGTTGGCAATATCAGTGGGTTTTGTGATGAATGAGCCATCTGATTCAATGCATGATGGAGCTGAGTTTGCCTTTTTGCCCAAATTTTCATTTAAGGTGCTTCATAGCTTTTTACTATCATTCTTTATGTAATTTATCTTTGTTTCATAGTGAAGTTTCTTCTTCTTTTCATTCAGTTGTTGTAGTTGTTGTGGTTGTTGTTGTTGTGGTGGTTGTTGTTGTTGTGGTAGTTGTTTGTGGTGGTTGCTGTGGTTGTTGTTGTGGTTGTTGTTGTTGATGTGGTTTTTCTTCTTCTTCATTTTCTTCCCCCAGGACATTGGCACACACACATACACACACACACACACACACACACACACACACACACACACACACACACACACACACACACACACACACACACACACACACACACACACACACACATACCATAATCACTTCTCTCTTTCTCTTCTCTCCCTCCAGGACATTGACAACTCCTCCGGCCGTTTCTTCATTAACAACAAAGACAACTACACTGAGCTGAGCATCATCAACCTGGACATCGGCTCCGACCCTGGGGAGTACCAGTGCAACGCCACCAACATGATCGGCACTTCGTCCATTGTGTCTGTGCTGCGGGTCCGGAGCTACCTGGCCTGGCTTTGGCCTCTGCTGGGCGTCCTGGCCGAGGTCATCGTCCTGGTCATCATCATCGTGGTCTACGAAAAACGAAAGAAGCCAGACGACATACAAGATGGTGAGTCAGAGTCTGAGACCATATCAGTCATGGCGGCCATTTTGATTTGTGGTTTGTTCTCATTGAATGTTTTTATTGTTTTTGTGGTCAAGTATAGTTTGCAGATAGCCATTTCAAATAATTCATTGTTTTCCAAGTGGAGAAAAACAATAGTCGACGTTCTTCAATGCTGCAGATATGACTTCAGAGAAAGAGTTCATACTACATTTTAAAAACATACTGTAGTTCTCTCTGTATATATGAATCCTTGCCAACCAGCTGTTGACCTAACAACGTAGTGGAGGGTTAACACATGTAAACTCAGTTTACCCACCGTGTTCAGGTGTTACCCTCTTATTAACCCACAGTGTTCAGGGTTTACCCTCCTATTAACCCACAGTGACCAGGGTTTACCCTCCTATTAACCCACAGTGTTCAGGGTTTACCCTTCTATTAACCCACAGTGTTCTGGGTTTACCCTTCTATTAACCCACAGTGTTCAGGGTTTACCCTCTTATTAACCCACAGTGTTCAGGGTTTATCCTCTTATTAACCCACAGTGTCAGGTGTTACCCTCCTATTAACCCACAGTGTTCAGGGTTTACCCTCTTATTTACCCACAGTGTTCAGGGTTTACCCTCCTATTAACCCACAGTGTTCAGGGTTTACTCTCCTATTAACCCACCGTGTTCAGGGTTTACCCTCTTATTAACCCACAGTATTCTGGGTTTACCCTTCTATTAACCCACAGTGTTCAGGGTTTACCCTCCTATTAACCCACAGTGACCAGGGTTTACCCTCTTATTAACCCACAGTGTTCTGGGTTTACCCTTCTATTAACCCACAGTGTTCTGGGTTTACCCTTATATTAACCCACAGTGTTCAGGGTTTACCCTCCTATTAACCCACAGTGACCAGGGTTTACCCTCTTATTAACCCACAGTATTCTGGGTTTACCCTCTTATTAACCCACAGTGTTCAGGGTTTACCATCCTATTAACCCACAGTGACCAGGGTTTACCCTCTTATTAACCCATAGTGTTCAGGGTTTACCCTCTTATTAACCCACAGTTATCAGGGTTTACCCTGCTATTAACCCACAGTGATTATGGTTTACCCTCTTATTAAACCACAGTTATCAGGGTTTACCCTCCACATTGCTACCACTACATACTTGCTAACATCGCCCCAGCTGGCCTAACATCGTCCCAGATGGCCTAACATCGTCCCACCTGGCCTCACATCATCCCAGCTGGCCTAATATCGTCCCAGCTGGCCTAACATCGTCCACAGTGTTCAGGGTTTACCCTCATATTAACCCACAGTGTTCAGGGTTTACCTTCTTATTAACCCACAGTGTTCAGGGTTTATCCTCTTATTAACCAACAGTGTCAGGTGTTACCCTCTTATTAACCCACAGTGTTCAGGGTTTATCCTCTTATTAACCCACAGTGTCAGGTGTTACCCTCTTATTAACCCACAGTGTTCAGGGTTTACCCTCTTATTTACCCACAGTGTTCAGGGTTTACCCTCTTATTAACCCACAGTGTTCTGGGTTTACCCTTCTATTAACCCACAGTGTTCAGGGTTTATCCTCTTATTAACCCACAGTGTCAGGTGTTACCCTCTTATTAACCCACAGTGTTCAGGGTTTACCCTCTTATTTACCCACAGTGTTCAGGGTTTACCCTCCTATTAACCCACAGTGTTCAGGGTTTACTCTCCTATTAACCCACAGTGTTCTGGGTTTACCCTTCTATTAACCCACAGTGTTCAGGGTTTACCCTCCTATTAACCCACAGTGTTCAGGGTTTATCCTCTTATTAACCCACAGTGTTCAGGTGTTACCCTCTTATTAACCCACAGTGACCAGGGTTGACCCTCTTATTAACCCACTGTGTTCTGGGTTTACCCTTCTATTAACCCACAGTGTTCAGGGTTTACCCTTCTATTAACCCTCAGTTATCAGGGTTTACCCTGCTATTAACCCACAGTGATCAGGGTTTACCCTCTTATTAACCCACAGTCTTCTGGGTTTACCCTTCTATTAACCCACAATTATCAGGGTTTACCCTTCTATTGACCCTCAGTTATCAGGGTTTACTCTCCTATTAACCCACAGTGTTCAGGGTTTACCCTCCTATTAACCCACAGTGTTCTGGGTTTACCCTGCTATTAACCCACAGTGACCAGGGTTTACCCTCCTATTAACCCACAGTGACCAGGGTTTACCCTCTTATTAACCCACAGTCTTCTGGGTTTACCCTTCTATTAACCCACAGTGATCAGGGTTTACCCTGCTATTAACCCACAGTTATCAGGGTTTACCCTCCACATTGATACCACTACATGCTGGCCTAACATCGTCCCAGCTGGCCTAACATCGTCCCAGCTGGCCTAACATCGTCCCACCTGGCCTCACATCATCCCAGCTGGCCTAATATCGTCCCAGCTGGCCTAACATCGTCCCAGCTGGCCTAACATCGTCCCAGCTGGCCTAACATCGTCCCAGCTGGCCTAATATCGTCCCAGCTGGCCTAACATCGTCCCAGCTGGCCTAACATCGTCCCAGCTGGCCTAACATCGTCCCAGCTGGCCTAACATCGTCCCAGCTGGCCTAACATCGTCCCAGCTGGCCTAACATCGTCCCAGCTGGCCTAACATCGTCCCAGCTGGCCTAATATCGTCCCAGCTGACCTAACATCGTCCCACCTGGCCTAACATCGTCCCAGCTGGCCTAACATCGTCCCAGCTGGCCTAACATCGTCCCAGCTGGCCTAACATCGTCCCAGCTGGCCTAACATCGTCCCAGCTGGCCTAATATCGTCCCAGCTGGCCTAACATCGTCCCAGCTGGCCTAACATCGTCCCAGCTGGCCTAACATCGTCCCAGCTGGCCTAACATCGTCCCAGCTGGCCTAACATCGTCCCAGCTGGCCTAACATCGTCCCAGCTGGCCTAACATCGTCCCAGCTGACCTAACATCGTCCCACCTGGCCTAACATCGTCCCAGCTGGCCTAACTGAATGAGAGCACGAGGACAAACAACACAAGGATGTGCGTTCCAAATAGCACCCTATTCCATTTATAGTGCACTACTTTAGGCCAGAGCCTATTGGGCACTCTGTAGGGAATAGGGTGCCATTTGAGACGCAGCCAAGGTCCTTCGACAGTCGTTAATAATAGACACTCGTCCACTGTTGGCTACACTGCAGTATTCGATCCGTGAGATTGTCCTGACAAGGTGTTTCCCTACAGCAACTGTGTCGTGTGTCTTTAGTGTGTGTGTGTGTGTGTGTGTGTGTGTGTGTGTGTGTGTGTGTGTGTGTGTGTGTGTGTGTGTGTGTGTGTGTGTGTGTGTGTGTGTGTGTGTGTGTGTGTGTGTGTGTGTGTGTGTGTGTGTGTGCACCTGTTGGGTGAAGCTACTGAGACTGAATTATTGAGTGCAGACGTAGCCAGTCAGGTAGCGACAGAGCAGATGTTTACTGTTTGGGGCTCTTCCTGTTTCAAGAGGAAATTATGACCCATGGACAAACCCAAAATATGCACACACACACAGACACAGACACACACACACACACACACACAGACACAGACACACACACACACACACACACACAGACACACACACACACACAGACACACACACACACACACACACACACACACACACACACACACACACACACACACACACACACACACACACACACACACACACACACACCCTTAGTTAATATATGTTAGCAGTGCTAAGACAAGTTTAGAATATACAATTAGGGTACTACTGTGTAATATTTTCCACCCTCTGTCCCAAATTGCATAACCCAACCTATGTTTGGTAAGTGAGAGACTCTGCATGCCTCTTGAGTTTCAATCAGCATCTATAACAAACTAGCCTGGTCCCAGAACTGTTTGTGTTGCGTAGCTAACTCCTATGGTCGTTGTTCCATGGGGTATTGGCAAGACAGCACAAACAGATCTGACCCCAGGCTACACAGCATTCTCTACATGCATCTATCCCCAGCGGGCAAAATTTGGCATGTAACGTCAAACAGATGTGATTTTCTTGTTGGGAAGATATCAAGACGGCATCAAGACGTCATCAAGACATCATTATTTGGTTGTTAACTGTTCATATAACCAGTTTTGCTCACTAGATTTTCTTTAGAATCTTAAATTATAATGTATATTAACTTTCTGCTTAGGCTACTTCTCTATGGAGTTTCACAGTCAAAGACTCCGAGCTTACATTTAAAAAAATATGGAATATCGTGCCAAGGTCACCTTCAAGGGCATCTTCAGTTTTGAATGTATTGTATTCTCTAGTCTATGCTAGGAGCATAGTATACCTTTGTAAGGAGTCAATTAATATAATATATGCCATTAATCAAAAATGACTTAGTCATGCGTGTGTACATTTTTTGTATGGGTAGCCCAAGCGGGAATCGAACCCACGCTCCTTGGCTTTGCAAGCACCATGCTCTACCAACTTAGCCTCACAGGACTACAATTGTTTTCTCTGTGCTGGTCAATTTCAATGCAGTGTTTGAACATACTTTTGTGCGCAGTTTGTCTGCCCACGCATGCTACAGTATGTTTGTAATAAAAGTGAATTTAAACTTGCATCTGCTCTGCTTGAATTACGTAATCACTTTCTCATCCCATGGATCTTATTGGTTTTATGGCTCATTTTGACTGCATTTGGTGTTAATTGTGACTGTGATTGTTCCGTCTCATGCTAAGTTTTAATATGGCTTCCATTCAGCACAGGGTCTATTCATTATTTAACTTCTTCACCTGAGCTTCCATTCCATCAGCATGGTTTTGAGATGAAGTTGAGTTCATTCAGTTATGGAATTTAACTGAATTCCACTCATGGAACTTAACTGAATTCCACTTATGGAACTTAACTGAATTCCACTTATGGAACTTAACTGAATTCCACTTATGGAACTTAACTGAATTCCACTCATGGAACTTAACTGAATTCCACTTATGGAACTTAACTGAATTCCACTTATGGAACTTAACTGAATTCCACTTATGGAACTTAACTGAATTCCACTTATGGAACTTAAAGGGACATTTCAAAAATGTTCATCTTCATATTCATCATCTCCAACACCACCCTAACATCAACATATGTGAAAATTGCGTGTTTCTATGTTTTGTAGTTAAAAAGATAGAGGAAGATAAATGTTTCCAATGACATCATCAACCAATTAGTAGACAATGCCTACTCATAATTGGTTAAAATCAAACGATGTACACCAATGATGTAATTGGAAACACTTATCTTCCTCTTATATTTTTTACTACAAAACATAGAAATGCACAATTTTCACATACTGTATGTTGATGTTGGGGTGGTGCTGGAAATTGTGAATATGTGAAATGTCCCTTTAATTCCACTTATAGAACTTATGGAACTAAGTTAAATTCCAAAATGATGGAGCTATGGAACACACAGAACTGTCTTTGAACATCATTCAACCAAGCCTCCAACCAGACAAGATGTTAAAGTCATATTACCACTGTAACACATTGCTTATTTTTAGACATACTTTCTACTGAAACAATTGCCATTTCACCATCAGCATGCACTATTTTCTTCCTGTTGTTCTTCAGAAGACCTTTTCAGATGATTATCTAACGCAAAGGCTTTTATTGTCTTCATTTGTCTTCATTTCTCCATATTTTCCCTTTGTGCATCAGATGATGAACCAGCTGGACCAATGTAAGTACATCTATGTTACAATCATTTATTTAGTTAGAAGTCTATTTATGGTGTTTTGCTCTAGTATTTTCGTCTTGTAGCTGTTTCTGTAAACTACTGTACATCAGGGTTGGGCTCAATTCTATTTGAATTCAGAAAGTAAACTGAAATTGATCTTCCAATTCCAATGTTCCTAATTGACAGCAACATTGCCTCTGAGTCATCCATACAGCAAGTTCTAAAAAACATTTTGAATGATCAGTAGATGTAGTGTTCTAACCCTTTTGAATGATCAGTAGATGTAGTGTTCTAACCCTTTTGAATGATCAGTAGATGTAGTGTTCTAACCCTAACCCTTTTGAATAATAATAATAATATGCCATTTAGCAGACGCTTTTATCCAAAGCGACTTACAGTCATGCGTGCATACATTTTTTATTTTTTTTTTAAAAAAAATTTTGTGTATGGGTGGTCCCGGGGATCGAACCCACTACCTTGGCGTTACAAGCGCCGTGCTCTACCAGCTGAGCTACAGAGGACCACATGAATGATCAGTAGATGTAGTGTTCTAACCCTTTTGAATGATCAGTAGATGTAGTGTTCTAACCCTTTTGAATGATCAGTAGATGTAGTGTTCTAACCCTTTTGAATGATCAGTAGATGTAGTGTTCTAACCCTTTTGAATGATCAGTAGATGTAGTTTTCTAACCCTAACCCTTTTGAATGATCAGTAGATGTAGTGTTCTAACCCTAACCCTTTTGAATGATCAGTAGATGTAGTGTTCTAACCCTTTTGAATGATCAGTAGATGTAGTGTTCTAACCCTAACCCTTTTGAATGATCAGTAGATGTAGTGTTCTAACCCTTTTGAATGATCAGTAGATGTAGTGTTCTAACCCTTTTGAATGATCAGTAGATGTAGTGTTCTAACCCTTTTGAATGATCAGTAGATGTAGTGTTCTAACCCTTTTGAATGATCAATAGATGTAGTGTTCTAACCCTTTTGAATGATCAGTAGATGTAGTGTTCTAACCCTAACCCTTTTGAATGATCAGTAGATGTAGTGTTCTAACCCTTTTGAATGATCAGTAGATGTAGTGTTCTAACCCTAACCCCTTTGAATGATCAGTAGATGTAGTGTTCTAACCCTAACCCTTTTGAATGATCAGTAGATGTAGTGTTCTAACCCTAACCCTTTTGAATGATCAGTAAATGTAGTGTTCTAACCCTTTTGAATGATCAGTAGATGTAGTGTTCTAACCCTAACCCTTTTGAATGATCAGTATATGTAGTGTCCTAACCCTTTTGAATGATCAGTAGATGTAGTGTTCTAACCCTAACCCTTTTGAATGATCAGTAGATGTAATGTTTGTGATCAGCAATAAGGTGTATTACAGTATAATTGTTTTGATGGTAACCCAGTCTAACTGTGTCCTTTGTTTATCCTATTGAAGGAAAAGTAACTCCACCAACAATCACAAAGACAAGAACCTTCGTCAGAGGAACACAAACTGAGCACATTGGTAAGTGTTTTTTTCCACTCTATTGGTAATGCCAAGATAAGGAAATGAAGTGGCAATGATCTGGGGCCGTGTGTATCAAGCATCTGATTCAGGATAGTTTTGCTTTCAGATCACAATGAATAAGATCACATAGACGGGGGGCCAGATCCTAGTTGAGCACTCCTACTCTGAGAAGCTTGATACATACGATCCGTTTACCCGGTTGTATGTTGTTAATGTTGTTGTTGTTTACTGTATCATGTAGCTACAGTATGTTATTAATAACCTGTCAATAACCACAAATAGCCACATGTTGTACAGGAGATCAATATTGAAAACAAAGCTAGTTTACTTTATCAATAAGCTGTGACCACATACTGTATCTCGTCAATACCACTGACAGATAGCGGTACACTGAGTGGACAAAACATTAAGAACGCTTGCTCTTTCAACGACAGACTGACCAGGTGAATCCAGGTGAAAGATATGATCCCATATTGATGTCACCTGTTAAATCCACTTCAATCAGTGTAGATGAAGGGGAGGGGACAGGTTAAAGAAGGATTTTTTAAACGGACAGATAGTTATATATTATAATCGCCCTTGAAAGTGGTGTGCAACTGCCAGGGTTGGGGTCAACTCCATTTAATTAAATCCAGGAAGTAAACTTAATTGACTGAATTGAAATGGAATTATCCCCAACCCTGGTGCCATTACAAACAAAGCAACTACACACTAATAACTTGCCTCCTATTTTTCCTTCCACAGATAATAACATATTATACATGTATGTATTGACCATATGAAGGTAACCAGGAGAGGGATCCATAGCAATATGCTAATAAGAATGATGATATCTGCCAATAAAGTATGTAGAGTTGAGGAGGGGGAGGAGCTACTGTAAATGGATGTATTGAATGATGAGGCATGCCTTCTGATTTGATTATCTATCTATCGTGTGATTAAAAAGGTGAAGAATGTGATCAATGAACGTGATCCCATAACATTATGAATGATTTATGAAGTGTCTATGAAGCATTATAACCATTGTTGCTGCATGCAGTTATTGATTGTTGCTGTTTATTGATTGATTGATTGATTATTTATTCTCATCAAATTCTTATCATTTTCCGTTATTACTAATTCTAAAGTAATGCATGCAAGTTATTCTGACGTTCTGTTTGGTGCAGACATGACAAGGCTTTTTGGCTTGCGTCCCAAATAGCACCCTATTCCCTATATAGTTCACCCCAAAGGGCTCTGGTCAAAAGTAGTGCACTCTATAGGGCAGGAGTATTCAAATCTTACCATACGAGGTCTGTAGAGCTGCTGGTCTACCTGTTAATGAATCGCACCTAACTGGTGTTCCAGGTCTAAATCAGTCCCTGATTTTAAAGGGGAAGAATTAAAAAAACAAAAAGCAGTGGAACTGGTTTCAAAGTCCAGATTCAAAGTCCTCTGTAGCTCAGCTGGTAGAGCACGGCGCTTGATAACGCCAGGGTAGTGGGTTCGATCCCCGGGACCACCCCATACGTAAAAATGTATGCACGCATGACTGTAAGTCGCTTTTGGATAAAAGCGTCTGCTAAATGGCATATTATTATTATTATTATATTATATTATTATTTGAATTTGAAGGGTGTGTAGAACAGGTTACCATTTGGGACGCAGCCTTGGTTTAGTTTACTTTAAGAGTGGCTTCATGTTGATAGATAATCACTATTTATTTGTGTTGACTATGAGAAGCTAAAGACTTTGCAATGTAAAAGAAACAACGCCACCAATTATAATCTGGTATGACAGTAAATCTGTACAGTTGATCGTTCTGCTGCGTACCATTTTATAAATTAGGCATTATTTATTCATATTTTATCAGATTATATCTGTATAACATTTTAGTAAGGGCTTTGCAATGTCCCTGTCTTTTTTGAATTTTATTGAAAATTCCTATATTTAACATGTACTGTATGTATGTATGTATGTATGTATCCAACCACCTTATATAACCACACATGTACTAATATGAAGGATATTCATTCATTAGATTCACTTAAATGTAGAAAAATAATGGGAATTAAAAAAATCTGTATAAACTTTAATTTAGTATGTAATTGTACAACTCCTAATCCTTCTAACTACTGCTTTTGACTGAACTAAAGTATGTGTATTGTGTATAGCATGGTTATTATCCTATGCAATAATAATCAATATTGATATTCATATATACAAATCCCTCTTAGAAGCTTTTAGATTCTGTGTGTTGATCAATAATCATCTTTAGAGCATTGATAGATAGCGTACTGGATCTATAATCATCTTTAGAGCATTGATAGATAGCGTACTGAACAGCTTGTTGATCTCTATAGATAATAATGTTGTACAGTAGATCTAGAAGTTGGAGCTAGAGAGGAGGCATTGCAACAACAGGACCTATGTTATGTAGGTCAAGATTGACACTTGTAAAGCAATCCCAAAATCAATCCCAAGTCATTTTTAAGAATAAAAACCTAAAAAAAGAAATGGTTTTGTTTCAGTCGATGACTTGATTTTCATCTGTTTCCAAGCTTGCAATCACACGCACTAATGCACGCGCGCACACACACACGCACGCACGCACACACGCACGCACGCACGCACGCACGCACGCACGCACACACACACACACACACACACACACACACACACACACACACACACACACACACACACACACACACACACACACACACACACACACACACACACACACACACACACACACACACACACTCTCTTCACAACCAGCAGACAGGCATGGGCTGTAAACATTCAGCTGTCTTCGTTAGTGTTTCATGTGAAAACAGCTCCACCTAGTGGTCACATGAGGAGCCAACAATCCTGTTTGAGAAGTAAGCTACAGGTAGTTATTTATTGGTTGATGCAGCTAAAAACCTCCCAAGATAAGTGATTTGTTTACTTTGGTGGGAATATTTAGTTGTTGATTACATGTAAATTACTGTTGTGTACCACTACTGCAATGACCTGAGGGCACGGGATAGGTGAAAGCAACATGGTGGACACCAATAGTGGAATGAGGTTTCCACCACTCCGGTTCTGTTGACCTCAGTGGCAAAATGCAGATGATGGACTGGAGATGAGGACAGTTAGGATGTCACTTTAGACCACGGGGACACACTTAGATTTGAGAAGCAGTGTGTGTGTGTACGGTGTGTGTGTACTGTGTGTGTGTGTGTGTGTGTGTGTGTGTACGGTGTGTGTACTGTGTGTGTGTACGGTGTGTGTACTGTGTGCGTGTGTGTGTGTACGGTGTGTGTGTGTACGGTGTGTGTGTGTGTGTGTGCGGTGTGTGTGTGTGACTGTGCGCCACTTTAATTTCTCCACCATCAGGCTGACAATTCTCTCTTTTTTAGGATAAATCCAGAAATCTTCCATCCAGACCAAATGGCAGAAGCACAACTGAAGGGGGCACTGTTGTCATATATATGGAGTCTGCTATCTGCCAGAAACACGTATCCCATATAGGTAGTCAGCTATCTGCCAGAACCATGTATCCCATATAGGTAGTCAGCTATCTGCCAGAACCATGTATCCCATATATGGTAGTCAGCTATCTGCCAGAACCATGTATCCCATATAGGTAGTCAGCTATCTGCCAGAACCATGTATCCCATATATGGAGTCAGCTATCTGCCAGAACCATGTATCCCATATAGGGAGTCAGCTATCTGCCAGAACCATGTATCCCATATAGGTAGTCAGCTATCTGCCAGAACCATGTATCCCATATATGGAGTCAGCTATCTGCCAGAACCATGTATCCCATATAGGGAGTCAGCTATCTGCCAGAACCATGTATCCCATATAGGTAGTCAGCTATCTGCCAGAACCATGTATCCCATATATGGAGTCAGCTATCTGCCAGAACCATGTATCCATTTACATTTTAGTCATTTTAGCAGACGCTCTTATCCAGAGCGACTTACAGGAGCAATTAGGGTTAAGTGCCTTGCTCAAGGGTGTCACGCCCTGGCTCTGGGGACTATGTTATGTTGAGCCAGGGTGTGTAAGTCTATGTTTTGTATATCTATGTTGGCCTGAGTGACTCCCAATCAGAGGCAACGAGTGTCAGCTGGTTGTCTCTGATTGGGAGCCATATTTAACTATCGGTCTTTTCACTTTGTGTTGTGGTTTCTTGTTCCTTTTGGTTTGTGTATCGAAGGACTTCACGTTTCGTTCATTGTTTTGATCGTGTGATCTAGTTAATAAATATAAATATGTTCACCCGCAACGCTGCGCCTTGGTCCTCCTCCTTAAGCGATCGTGACAGAAGAAACCACCAAGACCAGACCAAGCAGCGTGTCCAGGAGCCATCGCTAATAGATCTCCGTGGCAGCTTCGACTGGGTCAAGCCCATTGAGGAGCTGAGTGACGAGTGTTGGAGACAGAGGAGCGAGAGGTGGGCGAGAATGATGGAGGCCTGGCCCACGGGGAGGAGAGACCCCCAGAAATTTTTTAGGGGGGGGCTCACGACGTCGGGGCAGCAGGAGGCCGCTATGGAGCGGTCCAGCAGGGTTGCAGAGGAGGCCGCCAGGTTACGGGGGCCACTGGTAGAAGAGGGGATGGAAGGTGTAGAGGCACGGCGAGAGGTACTGGCGTGTGTTGCCAGTCCGGTCCGGCCCGTTCCAGATCCCGGTGTAGAGCCAGTGGTGTGTGTCCCCAGTACGGTCCGGTCTATTCCTGCTCCCCGCACCAAACCTACGGTGTGCGTCGTCAGTCCGGCACGGCCCGTTCCTGCTCTCCGCACCAAGTCTGTGGTGCGCGTCGCCAGCCCAGTCCGGCCCATCCAAGCTTCCCGCACCAAGCCAGTGGTGTGCGTCGTCAGTCCGGCACGGCCCGTTCCTGCTCTCCGCACCAAGTCTGTGGTGCGCTTCACCAGCCCAGTCCGGCCCATCCAAGCTTCCCGCACCAAGCCAGTGGTGTGCGTCGTCAGTCCGGCACGGCCCGTGCCTGCTCTCCGCACCAAGTCTATGGTGCGTTTCGTCAGCCCTGTCCGGCCCGTTCCTGCTCTCCGCACCAAGTCTGTGGTGCGCGTCGCCAGCCCGGTCCGGCCCGTCCAAGCTCCCCGCACCGGGTCAGTGGTGCGCGTCGTCAGCCCGGTCCGGCTCATTCCTGCTCCCTGCACCAAGTCAGGGGTGCGCTTCGTCAGCCCGGTCCGGCCCGTTCCTCCTCCACGCATCAAGCCAGGGGTGTGCGTCGTCAGTCCAGCACAACCCGTGCCTGGGTCATGTCCGGAGCCGGATCCGCCGCTGAGGCGGAGTGCCCACCCGGTCCCTCCCCTGTTGTGGTTGTTTGGCGCGGCCGGAGTCCGCGCCTTTGGGGGGGGGGGTACTGTCACGCCCTGGCTCTGGGGACTATGTTATGTTGAGCCAGGGTGTGTAAGTCTATGTTTTGTATATCTATGTTGGCCTGAGTGACTCCCAATCAGAGGCAACGAGTGTCAGCTGGTTGTCTCTGATTGGGAGCCATATTTAACTATCGGTCTTTTCACTTTGTGTTGTGGTTTCTTGTTCCTTTTGGTTTGTGTATCGAAGGACTTCACGTTTCGTTCATTGTTTTGATCGTGTGATCTAGTTAATAAATATAAATATGTTCACCCGCAACGCTGCGCCTTGGTCCTCCTCCTTAAGCGATCGTGACAAAGGGCACATCGACAGATTTTTCACCTAGTCGGCTCGGGGATTAGAACCAGCGACCTTTCGGTTACTGGCACAACGCTCTTACCCACTAAGCTACCTGCCGCCCCAGTATGTATATGTATCCCATATAGGGAGTCAGCTATCTGCCAGAACCATGTATCCCATATATGGAGTCAGCTATCTGCCAGAACCATGTATCCCATATATGGAGTCAGCTATCTGCCAGAACCATTTAATTCAACAGGGCACAACATCTGGACTGAGGTTGTCACACAGTGGTCGGAACATCACAGATGTTATAATGGACACACACACACACACACACACCACACACACACACACACACACTCAATCACACTCAATCACACACACTGGAGAGAAAAGCATAGCTAGTCAAATCTGATTTGTAATTAAGGAGTACCAGTTAGTTTATTCAAAGATACAAAATATTGTTTTCAGTAAATAAATTAACATTTATTAGACGGATGCACACACACACACACACACACACAGCACCAATGCAATGACTATCAGACTGTGAGAGACCATAGTAACAGAAGCAGTAGGTGGAAAGTTACTCTCTCTGCCCCTTAAAGCCAATTCAGCAAACAAAGCCTTTGGTTGTATCCTAAATGGGTACCCTATTCCCTATATAGTGCACTATGGTCCATTGGGCTCTGGTCAAAAATGGTGCACTATATAGGGAGCCATTTGGGACAGTCACTTTGTCTGCAATGAGATCATCAGGGATAACACTGCCGCGGTCTCTTACATAGTCATTTAGCAGACACTCTTATCCAGAACGATTTACAGTTAGTGAGTGCATACATTTTCATTTTAGTCATTTAGTAGATGCTCTTATCCAGAGCGACTTACAGTTAGTGAGTGCATACATTTTTCATACTGGCTCCCCCGTGGGAATCGAACCCACAACCCTGGCGTTGCAAGCTTCATGCTCTACCAACTGAGCTACAGGAGGCCTTCAGTGCGCTCAGTGCTCTCAGTTTATAGTAATCTATATCAGGGAATAGGGTGCCATTTGGGAGACAGTCATTGTCTTTCTGTATGACCAGCACAGTTGGATACATTTCATTTCAATTCAGGAAGTAAACGGAAATGCCAATTCCAGTTTTTCTCATTGCTTTTCAGCTTTCCTCCCAAACAGACAGAAATAAATTGAATTGACCCCAAACCTTCTGACCAGTAGATGTTATCTCCACCCTTGGCACCATTTTCAGGATTTCAAACCAATGAAAGTGCAGTGTGAATACATTGTTACTTGAATAACGAGAAATATAGTAATATTGGCATAACTGTTTGATCGTTTATTTGTGCATGTCATTGACCCATCAATTAGCCCAGGTAAATAACAAAAGTTGGGTTATGAACCAGTATGACTTTGTGTGTGTGCAGCCTATAATTTCTAATTTACAACGAACAAGTATACCATCAATAGTCTATTAGGGAGTTTTAAAATCACATCCTCTTATAGTCCAGCCTGACTCCTGCTGGACTGGGATGCTGAGAGCAGCGCTCCTATGGCAACCCTGATAGATTAGCCCCATTAATACCCACTTTGTTAGAGAACACTACTGCAATGGAATCGGCCCACAGCAGCAGCCAGCGGTCTTTGAATGCAAGCTGGTGAGGACTGACTGACTGACTGACTGACTGACTGACTGACTGACTGCGTGGAAGGCTGCCTGTCATCATGTTCCTATTGACAGCCAGCTAGCCAGGGCTCTACTGTCTGGTGAGGAGAATCAGGAGAGAGAGGAGATCATGCTTTGTCATTAGAAGACCTCAGACACACAAGCCAGCCAGCATCCTTCCTCACACTGCCTCGGACTGGCACGTCCGATAATTAGCGCAGACAGCATCAGCACCGCGATGTGTTGTCATCTAGGCGACTACACTCTGATTAAGGAATACCTTGATAGCTGAATGTCATTCATTGAGTTCCCGGACATGTAGGCCTACCGTAATATGACCGTCGCGTCGAAGCGGTATGAACTGTTGCAACCGGGAGCAGGCAGCAGCACATTTCAAGTACCAAGTAAGATTCGAGTTATCCCTGTTCTGCTGCAGATGCGCTGTCACTACTTTCGGAATCCTGCGCCGTTTGAGTTGATGAAATACATGTTTTGGAATCATCATAGCTTGTATATTTTTGTTTCTTTGTCCAACACGTTTTTCTCGTAGCCCAGGCTAGTGCGTGCCTGTCGCATCTTTTCCTAAATACCATTATAATGGATAGGTTTCATTCTTCCATGCGCAAAAGGCTGTACAGCTTGCCGCAAAACATTGGCCAAAAAGGCTCTGTGTCTGTGATGGTTGACGACGGAGGAGAATACGGTGGTGGCGACAAGGACACCAAGAAGAAAAGTACCGGTATAAGGCTGAAGTCTCTCCCTCCTCCTGGACCTTCATCCCCCACCAGCAGCTGGAAGAGCAACGGGGACCGGGACCCCAAGAGCGGAACCGCCGGAGACTTGGAAACGGACGTTGCCATCAAGAACAACTTGAATGGGGACTGTCGTCTGGTCAGAGGTAGCCTTTCCTCCATCACTGGACGACACACTCTTGGGTCAGATCTAGCTGAGCAGCAGAGGCTGATCTCTGAGGCAGACGCCGGTGCTAACGAGGAGAGTTACCCCGGAGGAGAGACTGGTCTGGGGGGCGAGCAGGGAGCGCAGGGTGCCGGTGGTCGCGGTGCTGGCGCACATCGCCGATCGTCCGTCTTCGATCAGTCCACTTTTATCAAGTTAGAAGGAACCGAACCGATCATGCCAGACGAAGCAGAGCAGTTGTACCGGGTGGGCTTCATGCACCGGCAGTTCGGGGCGATGCTTCAACCGGGAGTCAACAAGTTCTCTCTGAGAATGTTGGGGAGCGAGAGGGCGGTGGAGCACGAGAGAGAACGCGTCAAGTCTGCAGGATTCTGGATCATTCACCCATACAGTGATTTTAGGTAATTATCGTTCAGAGGATCTTTATCAGTCATTAATTAAGTACTGAATAGTTTGATTGAAACCAGACAAGTGTCTGGTTAGACAAGTTATAGGCCTCTCATAGTTGTCATACCCTCTCCAACTAATTGTTATGATAATAGCATTGTTAACAGCTCACCACGTGTAAACTCAGCTTTCCAGTAACAATATGAAGACACACGTTTGTGGTCATCCTTGGTGTTATCTTAGTGTTGCACAGGGTACAGTGGCCAAAGCTAGGCTGTTTGAGATGGTGTCAGCTGATGAAACCAGTATGAGTCAAGACTCTTTCTGGTTTTCAATTGAACTCAATGCACCTATTGGGTCTTGTCTAAAGTAAAGGTCAAACATAGATGCCAGTCCAATTTAAATGCAGTTTTTAGATTTGACTACTGGCATGCATATTCATTTTGCAGTTCCAGGCATATTCATAGCCGACTAATACTGCTGGCACTGATGTTTTAGGCTCAGGGTTTTCTGGCTCAATAAGGATATTGTCATTTGGCCACAAATTGTGAAGGCCTGTATGTATGTGCGGAGAGAGATCCTGTCCCACAACTGTTTTATTTCATACCTACAACACAGAAACAAGTGTGTTCGTTCCATCAGTCCATCTTTTCATCACCACACCACATAAAATTGTTTTCGTATCATTCTAACCTTGTTCTCTCTCTCTGCTCTCACATCAGGACATGTCCACTGTCCTGACCTGTTGTCTTATCCTCCTATCCTGATGTGTCAGTGTTTTTTCCCCCCACTCATCTGAATTACACATTTTTTTTTTTTTCATTTAGTGAGGCCATGGGATTACAGAGAGAGAGAGAGTGCAGCAGGCCGGCCGCTATGAGCTAGGTCGGGGCTTTTTGAAATGGGGTAATCAAAATAGGGTAACATGACCATTCAAGATATTAGAAGCACACATCAGGCGGGATTATGACAACACAATTAGTCTAATGGGAGGGTTGTTTGGAGGGGGAGGACAAGGGGAAGGTAGGGGGAGAGAGGAGGAGTGGAGGGGGGGACAGGGGAAGGTAGGGGGAGAGAGGAGGAGTGGAGGGGGGGACAGGGAAGGTAGGGGGAGAGAGGAGGAGTGGAGGGGGGCAGGGGAAGGTAGGGGGAGAGAGGTAGGCGTGGAGGGGGGGACAGGGTGGAAGGTAGGGTGGAGAGAGGAGGAAGTGGAGGGGGGGGCAGGGGAAGGTTGGGGGAGGAGAGAGGAGGAGTGGAGGCCGGGGACAGGGGAAAGGTAGGGGGAGAGGACTAGGAGTGGGGGGGCGCCGGGGAAGGTAGGGGGAGATAGAGGAAGTAGGGGGGACATGGGAAAGGTAGGGGGAGAGAGGAGGAGGGTGGAAAGGGGAGGTAGGGGGAGAGAGGAGGGTGGAGGGGGGAGGGGAAGGTAGGGGAGGAGAGGAGTAGGGGGGACAGGGGAAGGTAGGGGGAGAGGAGGATGGAGGGGGACAGGGGGAAGGTGGTGGGAGGGAGAGAGAGGAGTGGAGGGGGACAGGGGAGAAGGTGGGGGCAGAGGAGGAGTGGGGGGACAGGGAAGGTAGGGGGGAGAGGAGTAGGGGGACAGGGGAAGTAGGGGGAGAGGAGGAGTGGAGGGGGGCAGGGGAAGGTAGGGGGAGAGAGGGAGGAGTGGAGGGGGGACAGGGGAAGGGTGGGGGAGAGAGGAGGAGTGGAGGGGGGACAGGGGAAGGTAGGGGGGAGAGGAGAGGGAGTGGAGGGGGGACAGGGGGAAGGTAGGGGGAGAGAGAGGAGTGAGGGGGGACAGGGGAAGGTAGGGGAGGCAGAGAGGAGGAGTGGAGGGGGGCAGGGAAGGTAGGGGGAGAGAGGAGGAGTGGAGGGGGTGGGGAAGGTAGGGGGAAGAGAGGGGAGGAGGGGGAGGGAAGGGGAAGGTAGGGGAGGAGAGGAGGAGTGAGGGGAACAGGGAAGGTAGGGGGGAGAGAGGAGGAGTTGGAGGGGGGACAGGGGAAGGTAGGGGGAGAGAGGAGGAGGGGGGAAGGGGAAGGGAGGTAGGGGGAGAGAGGAGGAGGGTGGAAGGGAAGTAGGGGGAGAGAGGAGGAGTGGAGGGGGAACAGGGGAAGGTAGGGGAGAGAGGGAGGAGTGGAGGGGGGACAGGGGAAGGTAGGGGGAAGAGAGGAGGAGGAGGGGGGACAGGGGAAGGTAGGGGGAGAGAGGAGGAGTGGAGGGGAGGACAGGGGAAGGTAGGGGGAGAGAGGAGGAGTGGAGGGGGGACAGGGGAAGGTAGGGGGAGAGAGGAGTGGAGGGGGACAGGGGAAGGTAGGGGGGGAGAGGAGGAGGGAGGGGACAGGGGAAGGTAGGGGAGAGAGGAGGAGTGGAGGGGGGACAGGGGAAGGTAGGGGGGAGGAGGAGGGGGAGGAGGAGGGAGGGGGGAAGGGGGGGAAGGTAGGGGGAGAGAGGAGGAGTGGAGGGGGAGGACAGGGAAGGTAGGGGGAGAGAGGAGAGAGGAAGGAGTGGAGGGGGGAGTGGGAAGGGTAGGGGAGAGAGGAGGAGGGAGGACAGGGGAAGGTAGGGGGAGAGGAGAGAGGAGGAGTGGAGGACAGGGGAAGGTAGGGGGAGAGAGGAGGAGGAGGGGGGGGGGGACAGGGGAAGGTGGGGGAGAGAGGAGGAGGATGGGGGGACAGGGAAGGTAGGGGGAGAGAGAGAGGAGCGTGGAGGAGGGGACAGGGGAAGGTCAGGGGAGGAGGGGAGAGAGGAGGAGTGGAGGGGGGAACAGGGAAGGTAGGGGGAGAGAGGAGGAGTGGAGGGGAGGACAGGGGAAGGTAGGGGGAGAGGAGGAGGAGTGGAGGGGGACAAGGGAAGGTAGGGGGGAGAGAGGAGGGAGTGGAGGGGGGAAGGTTAGGGGGAGAGAGGAGGATGGAGGGGGGACAGGGGAAGGTGAGGGGGAGAGAGGAGGAGTGGAGGGGGAGGTAGGGGGAGAGAGGAGGGTGGAGGGGAGGGGAAGTGGGGGACAGGGGAAGGTAGGGGGGAGAGAGGAGGAGTGGAGGGGGGGGGGACAGGGGAAGGTAGGGGAGAGAGGAGGAGTGGAGGGGGGACAGGGAGGTAGGGGAGAGAGGAGGAGTGGAGGGGGGGGACAGGGGAAGGTAGGGGGAGAAGAGAGGAGGAGTGGAGGGGGGACAGGGGAAGTAGGGGAGAGAGGGAAGTGGAGGGGGGGCAGGGGAAGGTAGGGGGAGAGAGGAGGAGTGGAGGGGGGGACAAGGAAGTAGGGGGAGGAGGAGGAGGAGGGGACAGGGGAAGGTAGGGGGAGAGAGGAGGAGTGGAGGGGGGGAAGGGGAAGGTAGGGGGAGAGAGGAGGAGTGGAGGGGGGACAAGGAAGGTAGGGGGAGGAGGAGGAGTGGAGGAAGGGGAAGGTAGGGGGAGAGGGGAGGTGGAGGGGGGACAAGGGAAGGTAGGGGGAGAGAGAGGAGTGAGGGGGAGGACAGGGGGGAGGGGGAGAGAGAGGAGTGAGGGGGGCAGGGAGGAAGGAGGGGGAGAGAGGAGGAGTGGAGGGGGGACAGGGAATAGGGGGGAGAGGGGGGAGGGGGGGGGGAGGAGGGGAGAGGGAGGGTGGAGGGGGGGAAGGGAAGGAGGGGGGAGGGGGGAGTGGAGGGGGAGGGAAGGAGGGGGAGGAGAGGAGGAGGTGGAGGGGGGGGAAAGGGGAAGGGAGGGGGAGAGGAGGAGTGGAGGGGGGCAGGGGGACAGGGGAGGTAGGGGGAGAGAGGAGGAGGAGGGGGGAAGGGGAAAGGTAGGGAAGGAGGAGAGGAGGGGGAGTGGGGACAGGGGAGGTAGGGGAGAGAGGAGGAGTGAGGGGGGGAAAGGGAGGAGGGGGGGAGAGGAGGAGGGGGAGGGGGGAAGGGGAAGGTTAGGGGGAGGGGGAGGGGGGGGGACGGGAGGGGGGAGAGGGAGAGAGGGTGGCGGGGGGAGGAGGGGGAGAGAGGGGAGGAGGGGAGGGGGGAAAGGGGGAAGGTAGGGGGAAGAGGAGGGGGAGTGGGGGGGGGGGACAGGGGAGGTAGGGGGAGAGAGGGAGGAGGGAGGGGGGGGAAAGGGGAAGGTAGGGGGAAGAGAGGAGGAGGGAGGGGGGAAAGGGGAAGGTAGGGGGAGGAGAGGAGGGAGGGAGGGGGGGAAGGGAAGGTAGGGGGAGAGGGGGGGAGGGGGGGAGGGAGAACAGGGGAAGGTAGGGGGAGAGAGGAGGAAGGGGGGCGGGGGAAGGAGGGGGAGGAGAGGAGGAGGAGTGGAGGGGGGGGGGCGGGGAAGGTAGGGGGAGAGAGGAGGAGGGTGGACGGGGGAAGGTAGGGGGAGAGAGGAGGAGTGGAGGGGAGAACAGGGGAAGGTTACCAATGCTTTCTCAGGATGGAAGAGGAGTTAGTAACAGTGGTGATGAAGCTACATGTATCTGAGCAGAAGTTGTGTCTGTAACTAACTGTGACGATAATCTAAAAGAACCTTTTGAAATACTGATATTGGGAACTCTCATATGTTTAATGTTATGAGGGATGTGCGTCTTTCCCTTTCAAGATGGTTCGATACGTATCTAGATACATGGGCTCCGATACGACACAGGAACGATACGTTTTAGTTTGAAACGAACCTGTTGCGATTCGGTTCAATGCGATACAATTCGATGCATAAACATTTATTTTCCATTTTTCTACCATTAAAATCTGGTGCTGATGGAGCTCCTGACCTGGTCCTCTCTGACCTGGTCATCTCTGACCTGGTCCTCTCTGACCTGGTCCTCTCTGACCTGGTCCTCTCTGACCTGGTCCTCTCTGACCTGGTCCTCTCTGACCTGGTCCTCTCTGACCTGGTCCTCTCTGAACCATGGTCCTCTCGACCATGCTCCTCTCTGACTGGTCCTCTCTGACCTGGTCCTCTCTGACCTGGTCCTCTCTGACCTGGTCCTCTCTGACCTGCTCCTCTCTGACCTGGATCAGTCGGAGGTGACTTCTGTGTGTGTGTGTATGTATGTGTGTGTATGTGAGTGTGTG